AGAAAACAAAATTGTACGGTACTAAACGAAACTCGAGAATCCGAGTGAGGCTAAACGGCCATGTAGCATGGAAAAGGGAAGAGGGAAGACTCTGTAGAGAGACTGTGTACCGCGATGAACAACGAGGGTGAAGATCGCGTGTGTTTGTAAGTTCGCGTCTCTATCCTCGTTTCTGTATCATCCCAGCTGAAAAGTCCACAGGTCGCCGCTCAATGTCATTGAAAACATTACGGAGTTACAATGTCACGATACGTCAGCCGTGAAGACGAGATCAGGAGACAATCGTTAATTCGAAGAAGGGACGCGAGATAGCGTTACTCGCAAAGTGTATCATGTTTTGTTTCCGGTATCGCGTAACGTTTCGCACATTGAAGTTCATCGATGCTCTAGAATTTGTATCCGATATGTAGATTCGATGGAGAGATCTCCGTAATCAAGAGCCAATGATCCGAGTACTCCTTGTATTCAATTAAGAGAAAAAAAAAGAAACTGAAACGAAAAGAGAAAAATATTAATTATTTAATAATAATATTTTATTAATTAAAATTTAAGAGAAATAAATATCAATTACTTTGTAAATGAATTAGACTATCACACGGTGCTCTTGTGCTAAGATCATTAACTTTTATCTGGGATCTATCATCCGTGTAAATATTTCAGTTAGATATAACTTGTTGATTGATAGTGCTTTCATCTCTTTGAGCTAAACGATAAGATTTCTTTGAAGTAAATTTTAATACTAGATAAAGGAGTATATATCAGTGTGTAAAGTGATTTGGTATATTGTTATTTGCGTTACTGAGATGAAAAAATATTTGTTTGAGTTGAATGAAAATGTATGGAAAATTCGAGGGTATTATTTTATCCTCTGTGTTCGACGTAAAGAATACATAGTGATTAAAAGGGAGGAAAAATGAGGAAATATATGAAAGCACAGAGATAGATAAATCGAGTAGTAGTAGTATGGAATTGAAATTTCTTGTTTTAACGATAACACACCATGCCAGATTGCACACCAACCCGCAGGTTTATTGTGTGTATACGTGCGTGTGCGCGCGCGCACGTGTGCAATATATACAGTGGATTAAAATTGGAATGTAAAATGAGATTGCGAAATTTATAATCTAAAACTTGAGTGTAGAGCATTTGTTAAAGAAACCGCGAAATACGCACACACACTTGGTCACGTGTGCACACATATTTTTCCTTCAGTGGTGTGTTCAGAGATCACATGCACGAAAGGGATCTTATTAACTGCTACATACTAAATAGAACTGCACAAATGAGGTTAAACGAATAAAAGCGGCGACTGCATGATAATTTTATACAAAACCAGGTAAACTTGTATGTTCTCCCACTTACAAACCTATCCACGGAGAGAATACCTTGTATACCGTCGTATAATTCACAATCTAGTCTGAAATTTTATACTCCGCGAAAACCTAATGATTCCAAAGTAATAAAAGACAGAAATACGATATTAAACGTCTCTTGAAATATCCTGTCTATACATTGTCTATATTAGAAATATATATTTCGTAATAATACGTAGAAACGTAAGTTAATGACATTTTTACGAACGAGATACATGCCTCGGTGAGGAAAAGTCAAATCAGCGACTAGAGCAATCTACCTTACCGACCTGTTCTCACATCTACCGGCGTAAAATTTACGTTAGCCGAGAATAAAATAAGCGAAAAGCGAATATAAGCGAAGACGCACGTCGCCAATAATATGTGAACTACTCGAACGAGAACGATTTTTTTGCGTCACTGGCACAATGGGTATTGTCGCGTTCTTCATGGCTGGTGCAGATTTCGCGATAGTTAAGTCCGTGCGACACAATACTATGGAAGCCCGCCCGTGATACAGACAGACGCACGAAATATGGAAAACCTGTTCGGATCGGTGTGTGTGCTTGCTTGTCGCAATAAATCTTCGATACGTTACCTCGGGTAAAAAATATTTCGTTGGGCACAGCCTTTCGTGAAAAATCAATGCGACACTTTTTGCCATACTGCTCTACTTCTTAACGATTTATTTTTTCGTATTTCCGTGTGTGCGACGCACAAACGTTCCTGGAACGGCGAAATAAAGGAATCAGCGGAACTCGTGTATACGCGAGAGTATCGGTGGCAGTTATTCTTCGCGGTCGACTTGTTTTTTTTCTTCTTTTTTTTTACATCGTTACCCGTAACCGTCTTTCGAACATCGTTTGTACATGCGATATTTATACGCGTGACATATTTATCGCGTTCCATCGTTTTCTGACCCTTTCACGCTGTCCGACGTATTTCAGCTACTACTGTCAGGTTATGTAAGATGCGTGTCCCACTTGATATTTTTTGGCGGTCTCGTTCATTCGTGATTTATGAAATTCCTTGTTAATTATGTAATTTGCGTGATCTTTAATTATTCGAAACGTGCATGGACCTGAATAGCGACAAGAATTACAAAAAGCCTTTTACCCGAACGTAGTAATGGAATCTTTTAATTGAGTCCGTCGATTGTAGATGGAGCCACTTGCGTCGATGTGCGGCACGCGTGACACTTCGAAGGACGTGAATTTTGGCGAGAAATATTCTCGCGTTTATAAATTGTGTATATAAATTCGTAACTCGGCTTTTCTTCTTAAATTATATTTTGGATCATATTTTTCGTATTGTGAATCCAGATGAAAGAACAGTTATATATGAATGGTTTCGATCAAAATTTGAAACACCGTTGTCGTTGACAGGTTATAATGTACATCTGTATCGATCACTTTTATCACGAGCTACCTTCGTCTTTTTATCACTGCTCATTGTAATTGTAATGACAATAAAAATCATATGCTGTGCCACACATCCCTTTCATCATTTCATTTCATACCGCCACCTTTCGAAGTTGCTGCTACTCGTAATATGTCAATTTCATTAAAAAAATATTCTGCAATGATTAAAAATTTCTTTTTTATTTTCTTTGTTTTTTTTTCTCGAAATCACAGCGAAACTTTATATACGTATATTATGTAATACATATATAGTATATATATTCACGTGAGGTATTCGTTTCTTATATACATGTTTCATGCAAATTACGAGTTACAAATAGTTCGACTCTGCGCATCTGCATAATATATTTATATATTTAAACCTTTATTAGAATATTTATCATATATTATCGAGCATGTCTAAAAGCTGAAAATATAACTTTTTTTATTGCGATTAATATTTTGAAATTTAGCAATCATATAGTCATAGCCAAAATAAAAACAGAAGTTGATGTGAAACAGACTTCAAAAATAATAATAGAAAATCTGCAGAAAAATCCGTCACACTGTCAATGTCACTCTGAAGGATATACGTAAGTCATCTTATATCTGAGGAGTTTAATATATACAGATGGACTTAATTGAATGATGAGCGAGAAGCGAAGACGGAACCAATAGTCAGTGAGAGGGGAGGAGGAGCGGAAAGCCAGAATACTTGGGTTAAAAATAATCAGCTCTCGCTGTGGATGGTCAGAAATTTGGGAGCAAGGTCACAATCGATAGCAACGCAACTTCCTAAACATGTGTATAAATATTCGTCTGCTTGTTTAAATATTCTCCGATCGTTTACGGATATGTATTACTACTTTAACCTCCAAGATGAAACATAACCTTATCTCGGAACATCGGTTGTTATTACACGCGTAGTTTTCTTATACATAGTTAATAAACATAAATTTTGTAAAAATGTAACAAAGGTAAAAACAGAAATGAACTATAAAGCTTATAGCTTTTATATTAAAAGGTGGATAATTTTCATATTCTAAATATTATACTGTTCGCGTTTGCACAATTTTTGTTTAAGTACATTTATATAATACAACTTGCAAAAATGTTATAGAAGCGAGAGGTTAATACCACTGTTTCCATTTATAAGTCTTTCATTCTGTTGCAAACTGGTATATAATTTTTCACTTATATTTTTTGCTATATCAGTAAACGTGGGAAATAACGTCAATGTTATTAAAAATTTATTAAAAATATGCCGTGGAAAATGCATATATCTACCAGGTTTTATGAAACCGAATGAGATTCTATTCGATAAAGTAAATTCCTTGTTCGATATAACCGAAATGTACTCGAAATGAACTTAAAAACTGTAAACAAGATGGTGACTAATATCGCGTTCAGATTAAAATTTATCGTGACAGGTGGTTCTATATTATAAAATAATATTCAGTTTTTATAGTGCACTGATGTATTTCTTAGTTATCGATCGATATTATGCATTTACCTCTATTGTATCTGGCATTGAAATTCAAATACGAATTATAAATTTTCTATGTAGCACCAGAAGAAGCTGCATTTCTGTTATCAAATTCGTCACGGAGTTGCATGGAAGAAGAAAAGAAGAAAGATGTCAAAGGAGAGAAGAGGAATCCTTGGAAGAACATTTTTGCGATTGGCATGTTGGCAGTGTGGTTAGCTGGTTGTGTAGCTACATTGTATATACGACCGCTATCGGCACTGCAATTATGACTATCGCAGGTCCGCAACTACAATGAAAAAAGGCAACCTCGAAAAATCGTCATCGAGAAAACGAAGATCTAAATTAATATCTTGTAATTATCAAATTGGCGTATTTGATTCAAACATTTTAAGTGTTGGAAACTGCTTTATCGACCGAGTTAAAAATTTATTTCTACAACTTAATTCAAGTTAACCTTTATTTCTTATTAATTCTGACTTTTAAAACTTCAAGTCACTAAATCATGAATACTTATTAAATCTAAAAATCTTTTAAATTGAAACATTTTTTTGAAACCATGTTCTTATTAACCTGATGAATCCTGAAATTTAATTAATTCAAGTTTTTTAATAGCGTGTAGTAACCTAAATCTTCCGGTGAATGGGAAAAGGGTAAAGCCAAACGAAAAGCCAGCAGTCGGTTTCTTAATATATATATGTATATGTATTTTGATTATAGTGATTTACAATCACTTATGTTTACTGTTTCGTTATGTTGCAGATCTGCCTACGTATCCTTTGGAGGATTGCTGATGAGGTTACAGGGTGACGCAAATAACCTTCACGGTTTTGAGATCGACCAACATATGTACCTACTCATGAAGAAATTAGCGTTCTAACTGCGTCACGTGCATTACAATTATTGACTTAGGAAATGTCTATGTTAAATATATTCTTTTTGCGGAAAACGTATTATTATGAGTCTAAGGTAAAGATAATTGAACTGTTAGAAATTTTTAATAATTAATATGTGTGCACAAAGAAATTTGTTGTATATGTGTATTTGATTGGAAACAGTACACTGATATGAAGATGAAATATTATGTTACGTAGCTGATTGATCACTTTACATTTTCCGTCTCATGAATGTTGATTAAGCATTGTCAGTGCCACTACGATTCTCAGATACATGGTAATTAATAAACGTATTTTTCCACGTAAAAAGTAACCTTGTAATTACAAAATCCCTTATATTCCCAATTTTTCTTACTAAAAGGTACCATAAACATTATGCAAAATTACAGGAAACTGTGATCCAAGATAATCATTATCTATTAAGTTTTTAGAAAATAGATGAAAATAACGGCGATCAGATGAGTTCTAGACATATATATATTTACATATTTATGGTACCAGCGATCCACTAATTAAATTTAATGCAAATTCAAATAAACTGTTTTGTACTTCATTATGAGTTGAACTATCCCCGGCTTCGATCTTCTAATTTGATTATAAAGACTTATAATTTTACATTATCCTAACGAAAAGCCTTTGAATCCGATAAAAAGAAATATATTTCTGATTAGTATTACTTTTCATAACAGAAAGATTTATATGCTAGCATACAACATATCGTTATACAAATTGTTACAACATTGATTTTGAGTGTAAAATTTTCAATTCTTTTATAATATTGCGTATTCGACGATATTTTTGAAAACAGCGGAGCTAAGACTAAATATGATCAAGTTGAAATGCATGCAGCATCAGTGAGTATAAGAGCGAGAGATGAAAAGAATGTATAACAGAGAGACGTCGCCGTAGAAGGGAAATAGCCAAGAACTAATTTATGTAATTAAACTCGCGGTATTCCTGACCTTGTACGGCTGAATGCGAACTGGTCGAGGTTGGCTCAAACAATGTGGCATAAGTGTATTTGGCGTGGGTTCACTTCGAGCTCCAACATGGCGGTTTGATGTTGCATAACACATCGCGTTGCAAGATGGCTGCCACTTAATAAGGGTCTGATTCTAAATAGATTGGCCCAATGACATATAATTCGCTTTTATCTGGCCGCTCATACCGAGAAGTTGCGCAACACGTGTACATCAGCAAGAGACTGTCGGAGACAAAAATCAATACTTGCACACGACAAGTGCCGCCATCATGATGAAACTATTCCTCACAGTCGGTAACTTAGACTACTGAAGAACCGATATAATTTAATTTTAAATTTGGTTAGAATCATGTGTAATTTCATTTTATTTGTGGAATTATGGAGACTGAAGCAATTAATATTTATTTATATTTATCTCTAACTTTTATCACAATAAAAGACTAAACGTTTTACATTAGATAATACTAAATAATAATACAATATAAATACCTCTTCTCTTATATTATATAAACTTCGAAATGAATTCATATCTTCTCTTAGTAGGTATTAAGTTTCGTTGTGATAATTACTCTCAAACATTGATCAAATGCAGTGCAAACAGCCAGGCCCTGTTTGTCTGGACTCCAGTCTAAAGAACTAACAGGTTGTGACGAAACAGTACTGTTTTGTAACAAAATTAGATTACCAATAACTCCTTGATCTAAACCATCTGCATCTACTATTTTTCGTTTCTCTGGATAATTACTAGAAATAATTTGATAATAATTAAATCTCATAAGAACTAAAAACAAAAATAGATAAAAAATTCAATCTTACTATTTCCATAGGCAAAGATTTCCTCCTCCACCACAAGTAACAAATATTTCACGATTTTGTGGTAGATGTTTCACCAACCATACTGTTGAATTATGTGCCTAAAACATTATGTATATTAGACTAAAGTAAGTATAAGATTTTTATTTACACATGATTTACCATGTACCTTTTCAATTAGATAAGCAAATCCTTTTTTAGGATGCTGTGTCTTTAAGTCAAATAAATAAAGTTTTGACTCCAAAGTGGTAGCTACTAATTTATTCATTGGAATATCTTTTCTATCGAATTCAATGCTACAAACTCCATTTTTAAGATTACTCTCCCATAAAACACCCATTTTTTTCAAATCAAACATCTTTACATCTCCATTATCATAACCAGCAGCTACAACTCTTTCCTCAGAGTTATATGAATTTCCAAATGTAACTGACCAGCAATCTCTATGAGCTTCACCCTCTTTGGGTTTCATAACAGCAACTGGGCGTCCTTTTAGTCTAGGATCCCAAACTTTAACACTTCCATCTCTAGAACCAGTTACTAATTCTGGTGCACCATATCCAATGCTCTGCCCAGCTATACCATCAATACTATTTATAATCTCATTGTGAGCATTAACAGAGTAAATTGGTATTGAAGGATCTTCCAGGTTATAGATGTTTAATTTACCCTAATAAAGGTGACTTTAAGTCTTCTACATGTAGGAATAACATCTTATTAAAAATACGTATGTAGCTCATTTACAATTTTATTCATTTTTATTAATACCTGAAAATCACCAGTCGCTAAATATCTATCCTTCAAACTGGATGCTTTGAAAGTTCCGCATTTTATTGGTTGCGATCTTTCAATATCTTTAAGAAGATTTAGTTCACCGTTAGAGATTTCATAGATTTGTATGATACCGCTACCACGCGGTCGCGAACCCATAACCACAAATTTTGCACTACACGGAATCCATTTTGAATCGAATAATGAATAATTTACTGATTTCTCAATATGACAAATTATTTGGGGTTTTTCAAATTTTTCCATGTTTTCACAATAAATTATAGAGAAAGGCAATTTGGTTCCTATATTTCTGTAACTATGACTGAAGTTAGTTCGATGTATCCATAGATAAACTAACGTACTACTATTTACATTGAATACTTAAACATGGTGTCCCGCGAAATTTAAATTTTTATTATTTTTCAACTATTGTAAAGTTCATATTTATTTAAAAAAGAGATTCGATAAATACATGCTTAAAATGTACAAAGTTTGTTCTAACGTTATATAAAAATCCATTGTTTATTCATCACCTTCGGTATCTTCATCCTCTGGCACATCAGTCACATTATCTAATTTAGTATCTAATTTTTTCTTAAAAATTTCAATATATTTTAGTAATTTTTTATCAGAATCTATTATCTAAAACCAAAAATTATGAGGTTTATTTATAATTTATGATGTATAATTAAGAATAATCTGTTTACAAATATATAATACCTACCACTTCTGTTACTCTGTTAACAGCTTCAAGTAAATTTTCTTTAGAGGTAATATCATCGAATTCTACATTCAAATTTTTTAAAGATTTAACAAGAGTTTCTTGATCAATATTGCTTACTGGATTTAATATTTCTGCCAATATAGTAAACACAAGACTATTGTGCACGCAGTAATTTTCTGCACCAGATTGTCGAATTCCAAGTCTAGTTAAATTTAATATGAAAGTGGATACTTCGTAAGGATCGATTTCTTGTAAAGGACTAATCTCTGGTGCATTACACAAAGTTTGTAAGGTCGGCAAATATGCCTCCTCTAATTGTGTCTGAGCATCGGGTACGAGTACGACAAAATTGTCAAAAAAACCAGTTAAACATTGCCGAAGATAGTAGTCATTATCGTTTACAGGATTGTAACATAAGATTATTAGCCTTGATAATAAACTTGTGCTACTAATTCGTCGATTAAGTAATAATTTGCAAAGACCTTCAGTAGCAATTGTCCTTAATCCTTGATTCTGTTTTTAATAAAAACATGTGTGTTATTTATTTAATATTAATTTATCATTAAATGAATTAATAGTTATAAAATATATGCTTACTGCATTGTCTAATAATCCTGCTAAAATTTTAATAAAATTACAATTGCTTTGTCCTGCTTCTGATTGGTGTATTGACGTTAAAGAAACTTCACTATTAGTTTCGGTAAATAATTTAGTACGAGATTTTTCAGTTCTATTTGTAGTATTTTCCTCTGAATTTCCTAAGATGTCAAAACATTCAAGGCCATATAACAGTAGGAGATCGAAAATACCTTTTAAAGCAACAATCCAAATATCTATATTTTCTTGTTCCAAAGAAAATTGTAAAAACATCATCATAATATGTTGTTTAGCCAGTTCCTTGTCTAATATACAACAAATACTAACTGCTTTTATTGCCAATATGTGTACTTTATCATCTGGGTGCTAAAAATGACAATTATATTAAATCATATAAAATTAAATAAATTTATACTGTAATTAGTATTAGCTCACATCTAAACTATCAAGTGCTATTTGCATAAGACTTCGAAGTGTTGGTGTTAAAGTATGTACAGATTGCATCATTGTACAGATTATGCTCAAGCATTTTATCATTGTTTCAGAATCATTCTTTTCCTTTATCTCTTCATTAGTTATTTGTGATATTTGAGGTTGTTTTGATAATTTTATTATTTCCTCATTCAATAAGTTTATTTCATTTTTTAAACTGTCTGCTTTTAAATATTGTTTATCTTGTATAGCCTGATATTCGTCTTCTTTCATTTCCAACAACTTTACCTTAAGTTTTGCTCTCTAAAAAGGATTTTTCATTAAAACAATCAGTACAATTTTTAATTTTGGTTACAATTTGGCATTGTTATATTTTGATATTGTCTCAAGAATATAAACATACTTTAATGTTAATCTCATCCTGTTGCTCCTCTGAAATTTGTGTTATTATGGTTTCTTTTAAAGGTAATCTAATTTCACTAATTATGTTAGCTAATGTGTCCAATCTGGTATTTACATCAGGTATAACTTTTTGTAAGTGAGACACTATGCACTCGATAATTTTTTCAGTCCAGTGATTACTCATCAAAGTATTACATATCAATTCTTTCAGGTTTCTTCTTCCAAGTTCATCAGATAAATCGTACGTTATTGCTATTTCAAATAACTGTAATAAAATAAATTTCTGCATATGATTCTCCCACGTTTCATATTGTTTTGTAGATATTGTTATAAGAAAATCAGTGATATATGTGCAAAATGTTGACAATTCAGGTAAAATTCTTTCCAATTCTTCTGTACAAGATTCATTTCTTCTGTGAAGATGCTTTACTAAACATTTCCAATATAATGCTGTTTCACTAACTAACTTGTTTATTGGAATTAATTTAGTCTCTTTATCTATTGGTAATTGTTCTATTAGTGTATTTAATGCAGTATTTCTAGTGAAATAAAGAATAAGTATTTATTACATCAAAGAAATATATAATTGTAGGTATTATTAAATATAAATTAAATTCTTACTTAAATAAAGTATCTAAAGCTAAAACAGATACATCTGTGCCAATTTCAGCATCAAGGGCTTTTATTAAATCAATAAAGTCACCTTTAAAATGTCTTAACCATGTTGGTAATAAAACATTTTCAACAGTCTTTTTAACTATTTCAGATCTATCTTTCAGACCATCGTTTAGCAGTTGATCTCTTTGTGTAATAGTTAAGGACCTTACTGTTACTTTACTAATGAAATCATATGCCATTTTACGAACTGCCTCATCCACATCCCTAGTTCTTTTTAATGCTATCTGTAAAGTATTTTGATTTTTTCCCATACTCATTAATGCTGCTCTACGAACTTCAGCTTTTGGATCTTTGGTGGCATGAAATATATACATTTTTATAACAGGGCATTGTGGATCTGTAGGATCTTGAAGCCTATGTAAAGCAAAAATTGCTTGTGCTCTGACTTTTGGAGATTTATCCAATAATCTGTCCATCATAGAAACAGTTATTTTATCACAGAGTGCATCATCCATAAAAGCTTGATCACCCATAGAATTTAATAATATATTCAAGAAATGACAAATACGAAATCTCACTCCTTGATCTTTTGCACAATGATTTGTCAAAATAAAATCAAATAGCTTAGTAAGAAAGGGACATAAAGGTTCCTCAGATTCATCAACATCTGTGGTTGAATAAAAACTAACAGCAAATTTAGCAACAAAATCCAAAGTGTTCTCAACCCGTGAATGTCGCTGTGGGATAGTAAGTGGAACCTTAAAGCATGATACAAAACAGTCCCAGAAGGTTGACAAATCGCACTAAAATTAAAAAAAGAATTGTTAATAATTTAACATATGTAAAATACTTGTATCACAGGACTTTTTGTGATAAAAATAAATTAATTATGACGAAGTATATATAAAAACATTTTGTTCATATTTACAACCTATTCTCACCTGCTCATAACACTTTTTTAGTTTTTTCAAATTACTCTGATGACAAGTTTTATTAAATTGAACATTATAGAATATATCACTTATAATTTTCTTTGTTTTCTGTTTCATATTTATTATAAATTACACAATTATCACATAAAATATAAAAATGACACGTACAGAAAATAGCAACAGGGAACAGTAGAACGTTAACTATTTAAATGTATTGCCAACAGCAAAGGTTTTTTCCCCAAACAAAATTATCAAAAATTTACATTTAAATTTGAGAAAAAATAAATAAACAAGTATAAATTTAAATAATTTATATTATTGTGTGAAAATATCTATATAAATAAAATGATATCTATTTTCCTTACTTATTGAAATTTGATTGATATGTATAGTATAAGACTGGTATAGTAATTTTTATGTGTAAATTGGTAAAAGAAAAATTTTGTTGGCAAATATGTTTATACACAGCATACCAGTTATACATTTTATATATTTACATAAGTAAATCGTAATTTTATAAGTTTTGAAAAATTGTTATCGTTAAAAGTCGTTATTTATTAGCATTAATTTTTTTCGTCTTATATATTATTATATGTATTATACGTTATAACTAAGTTAATATTAAATTCAAAGATTTTTGTGAGTAGTACTTTCCCTCCAATAAAGTGAAATGTATAAAAAAGATTAATGATATAGTAGACGTATTTTATCCATATTAAATAAATATAAAAAATTTTAAAATGGGTACAGAACATGATACAAATAAACCAGAGGTAATTTTTTCCAAGTTTAATGATATACTTCTATAAATTTTTGAAAAAAAAAATTCACATTTTAACAATATTTTTTTACAGATAGAATTTGAATTACCACCTATTTGGCCCGATATAGACACTGAATTAAGGGGATATATAGAATGTTTGGATAATCTTCCAATGTATCATTTAGATAATGCCCAATGTTACTTTCCAAGAAAACCTGATATTTTATCTCTTTTGGATTGTGAATTAACATCACTTAGTACTACATTAAAATTTGATCGTGATCCTATTACTGGAAAACTTGGAGAAATGCATGAGGTAACTTTAAAGTCATCAGGGGAAACTTCACAAAATTCTATGTCTATGACTCGTGCACCATCTTCATCTAATAATGATGTCAGAGGTATTTGAAAGAAATGATTTTATAATAAAGTTATTTCTTGAAAGATTAAATGGAAGATTTTTAAATTAAAAATATATCAAACTTTGTTTAGGAAATATTAGCAATCTTCCATTTTGGCCTGGTGGTTTTGATGAACCTGAAATAATAATGGATCAATCAGTGGAAAAAGTTGACTTTGAAAACAATTTAAGAACTTTAGCAAAAGGATTTAGTGCAGGTGTAGAATTTGAAAGTGACAATTGTACTCCAAAAGACAAGACAATGCAGGAACAAGAACAAGAAGAAGAACAAAAACAAGAACAGAAACAAGAACCATTACAATCAATAGAAGATGAGGTTAAAAATATAGGAGATATGATTGATTTAATAGCCATTGTAAAGGAAGAACTAGGTGAATTTGATTTTTCAAAGTTAGATACAGAAGAAGCAACTAATGTTTCAAATATTGAGCAATCAATATTTGATGAAATTGTTTCATTATCAGAAGAAACAGATATTCCCATTTTAAAAATTTCGGAAAAATCCACTGAAACTGCAAAAACTGAATGGGCAGAAGAATTAAATGTTTCTACTCCAATAACTGATTTTGAAAAGCGAATTCCTGAACTAGCAATGAGTTTTCCATATGAATTAGATACTTTTCAGAAACAAGCTATCCTTAAACTAGAAGAAGGCTGTAATGTATTTGTTACTGCACATACATCGGCTGGAAAAACAGCAGTAGCAGAATATGCTATTGCATTAAGCCAGAAGCATATGACAAAGTAAATAGTTCAACGAATATTTTAGGTATTAATATTAGTATTAATATTATTAATTTTATTTCTTTTAGAGTCATTTATACATCCCCTATAAAGGCACTTTCAAATCAACAGTATCGTGATTTTAATAAAAAGTTTAAGAATGTGGGGTTATTAACAGGAGATTTACAAATTAACCAAGATGCTTCATGTCTTATTGTAACAACTGAAATTTTGCAATCAATGTTGTACTGTGCATCAGAAATTTTAAGAGACTTAGAATTTGTTATATTTGATGAAGTGCATTATATCAATAATGATGAGGTAAACAAAAATTCAGTATTATATTCTTGCTAATTTTATATTAATGATTAATTGTCATATATTTTATTACCTTATGTTACTTTAGCGTGGTCATGTTTGGGAAGAAAGTGTTATACTTCTTCCACAAACAGTTAGAATAGTAATGTTGTCTGCAACTGTGCCAAGTCCTTTAGTATTTGCTGATTGGGTTGGTCGTACAAAAAAGAAAAAGATGTATGTAATAAGCACTGCAAAACGACCTATACCACTTCAACATTATTTATACACTGGAACTGATGGTAGAACTAAGAATGACAAATTTTTAGTGATGAATGAAAATGGTCAATTTTTATTAGAACAGTAATGTTATTTTTTATTTGAAACCAAAATTTTTAGTTAATGAGATTTTAGCATTAAATATAAATTTTAGATGGCATAAAGCAACAAATGCAAAAAATGTTAAAAAAGAACAGAGAAAACAACGTATGACTTTTCAACAGGAGCGAGTTACGTGGAGTGCACTTATAAGTCATTTGAAAACTGAAGTATGATTAATATATATATATATATATAAATATATATATCATTAATATATGTATTAATAAATTATTTTTGTTGTTTCAGAACCTGTTACCGGCTGTTGTTTTTATGTTTTCACGAAGAAGATGTGGTCAAACTGCTGCATTATTAAGAAATATTAATCTCACAACCGAGTCTGAAAAGCATACCATTCGAGTTTTTTTCCAAAACAGTATTCGGCACTTAAAAGGCACTGATAGACAATTACCACAGGTTGTTATGATGCAACAATTATTAGTAAATGGAGTTGGCATTCATCACAGTGGTATATTACCTATTTTGAAAGAAATAGTAGAAATGCTTTTCCAAAGTGGTGTTGTAAAAGTAAGTTTTCCAGTATACATTTTCTTAACATATTTTATGATATATCTAGTTTCTTAAGATTAAAAAACTTCTACACTTATGGCATTGCAGTTATTACTTGCAACAGAAACATTTGCAATGGGTTTAAATATGCCAGCACGTACTGTAATTTTCGATTCTATACAGAAACATGACGGTAATACTTACCGGATACTTTCTTCTTCTGAATATATACAAATGTCTGGTCGAGCTGGTCGTAGAGGTCATGAAAAAGTTGGAGTAGTTCTAATCCTGTGTCCAATATCAGTACCACACCATGATAAGTTAAAAAGTATGATGTGTGGACGAGTTCGAAACTTAGAATCTAAATTTAAAGTAACGTATTCTATGGTTTTAAATCTAAGAAGATTAAATGAATCAGTATCAGTTGAAGCAATGATGCGAAGATCTTTTAAAGAATCACCTGTAGTTAAAAACCAAAATCTTTACAGAATAGAACTACAAGAAGTGGAAAATGAACTATCGAAATTGCCACCTTTAACCGACTTTCAGGAAAAACTATCTCAGTTTTATCGAGCGGCTGTTGACTACCTAGAATATGTTAAGTATTTTAAACCCCGTTATTTTGAAACACAAAAGCATATAGCAAAGTGTTTAGTACCTGGTTGGGTATTGCTTATATCATATAGAAGTCATTATAACAAATTAGCTATTTTATTGGACACTGTGCAAAGTAAAAATATTAAGCAGTACAGAGTATTAGTTCTTAAAAATTCTGATACACCTAAGGCTGCTGAAGAAATACTAACGAAAGAAGCAAGTAATAAAAGACTCGAGAAATGGCATGATATTATGGCTTTAACGAAAAAAGAAATATTTGTACCAGTTGGAGTTCCATCATATGAAATGCTGACTATAGCAGCATGGAATATATTAGAAATAACACAATTTAGAATTCAGGTGGATTGCGCCTCGGTTCTCAGAAGTTGCGAAATGAGACAATTACCAAGATTTAAGTAAGTTGATTAGCTTGTATTGAATTAAGTTTAATTTATAGTTTACTTATAACTTAAGTTACTTTCAGGAAGGAACCTCTTAACCAGGCTTGTGAAAGAGTTGTGCAAGAATTAATGACACTATCTCTTAATGCGTCTCGTAATTTATCTAAGTTGAAATCGTTTGTGCAGCTGAGCGTAAATAATAAAGTCTGTACAGAATTGCAGCATTTATTTGATTTAAAGAAAGCTGTTAATGATATAAAGTGGACAGAGATATTAAATTTTGAAGAGCAATTTGAAATTATACATGAACGATATGAATTGGAGAATAAGAGAAATAAACTACGATTGAAAACTAGCGATGAAGAATTAAGTTTATACCCTGAATACATAAATGCTGTTGCATTTCTTAAACATTTAGGATACATAGATAGTGATGAAAGAGGTTTGTCTTTTTGTGAAAATAATCAATACCGGTTTAATGATGTATAATAATTTTACTTCCTATCTAATAGTTGCATTAAAAGGTCGGGTTGCTCTACAAATGGGAAAGAACGGACTGTTAATTACAGAGCTCATTCTTAGAAATATATTAACTGTACTCGAACCAGCTGAAATAGCAGCATTATTGTCGGCTTTAGTGTTCCAACAACGTACGTCTGTTGAACCAAATTTAACACCATACTTAAAAGAGGTATATTTTTTTATATAAATTAAATATTTAATTTATTTTAAATATTATGGTGTTCACTATGATGTTCAAATATTTTTTAATTATAGAATTGTAAAATAATAAACGACGTAAATACTGAATTAGAAGCTTTAGAACAGTCTTATGAGTTAGAAACACTGCAACCGCTGAATTTTGGTTTAGTAGAAGTGGTTTATGATTGGGCACAAGCGAAATCATTTGCCGAAATTATGGAGAAAACAGATGTACAAGAAGGTATTATTGTACGATGTATTCAACAATTAAGTGAAACATTACGAGATGTAAAAAATGCAGCTGTTATTATCGGTGATCCTGTTTTAAAGGAAAAAATGGAAGAAGCTTCTACTATCATTAAAAGGGATATAGTCTTTGCCGCATCTTTGTATACTCAAACTTAATCGTTTAACAAAACCTTTGTACAATAATTTATTTATATGTGTAAATTTTTAGAGTAATTAAAGATATTTATGATTTGGTTTTTCACTGTTTATAAAACATATGTTTGAAAAATGTACAGATAATATTTCTTTACTATAAATGTAAAGTGTTGGAATTCAGTTTGGTCTGAAAATTATATTTTTTTATGTATAGATATATAATAAAAGTACAAAGAAAAAGAATAAAATTATTATTAATGTTGAATAATTCCTTTAATTTACAATGCTTATTAGTAAAAAATATTATCCTATATTTTATTTTCAGATATTATAATGTACGCTGATCTGTGTTATTAAGATTACCTTGACCTTTATTTGCTTCAGAAATGCAGGTCCACTGTCCTTCAGTATTCTCACGCCAAAGAGATACTTTATTATCTCCACCACTAACAGCTAAAATACCTCCAGTTAATGACCAACTAACATTCCAAATAACATCATCAAAAACATTGAGGATAGTTGGTGTCCAACTGGTATAATCATTAGAAGTCCATACAATAACACGACGATCTTGTGAACAAGAAGCTAGAGCTGCTTTAGATGGTCCAACTGCAGGTGCCCATGCAACATCCCTTACCTATATAAAATAAGATATCTTAACTTATATTACTAAATTTGAAAAATGTTAGATACATTACCCAATCACTATGTGCTTCAAGTTTATCTTCTTCAATCCATCTGTCACTTTCTTCTTTCCAAATTTTAACTAAATTGTCACAACCTCCTGTAGCTAATCTTTTTACCGGTCCATTCCTCTGAGTTCCACTAGCATCAAAACTAGGCTCAATAGCAGGACACCAACTCACAGCATTGCATCCAATAGTATGAGCATTTGTAATTTTTTGTGTATCCCATGTATCTCCATTATTAATAAGTATAGACACTGAACCATCAGAGCTACCACAGGCTAAAATTAAGCCAAATTCATGTGGTGCCCAAGCTACTGAATTAACAGAGGAATCATGACCATTGTGTTCATAAATCTTGGTCCATTCTCCTAGTTCTTTCCAAATGATTACTTTTCTATCACAGAAGATAATATAAGATAGCATTAAAACAAAGCAACTTATTTTAATGCATCATAATTTGCATGGGAGGAAAACATTTTTAATATTACAGAATCTTAACAAAATATAACATACCGATCATAACTACAAGATGCTAAAAGATTTCCAAATTTAGGATGTGCCCAAGTAACCTGCCAGACAGGTCCAAGGTGACCCTTAAGATCAGCTACTAAACTTTGTGAACCATTTTTTAAATCAAAAATTTTAACCGAGTTGTCACTGGAACATGTTGCTAACCTCAAACCGTAATAATCCATTTCTGCATCATGAATCATGTCTTCATGACCGGTATCAACCGTATTTAGAACAGATACCATTTTTATGACAAGTTTTATTCAAATTTTTATAGTTATACTTTAAAGATTATGAAGGAATTAATGTTTAATTATAAGATGTTGAGAAGGTTATATTGTCTAAGGCCTGTCACTTACGTGGAAGCATGTGCGCAGTGGCTGTTAATGTAAGAGTGCTTTGCGCAACTTACTTGGAAATGTCAGTGTCGTTATATCCGTGTTAAAAATCAAATATAAATCTTTTTATAGTGATATTATTAAAAATATGTAAGGTAAATATTTATTTCCTGTTTAAATAATAAATACGAATATTCATAACTACACTCTTTTTATCATTATTTTAAAAGCCACACTGAATGGTATATTTTTTACATAACATATTCAAACTAAACACTAAATTAACGGTGTTTTTCCAAAGTATGTAATTGACTTTTTTGACTTAAAACAACTGTTTTATTAGTTGTATTAAATATAAAGTAAATATAATCAAATACTGTTCTTGTTCATTTAATGTAATGACGCATAGTATTAATTTTACTTCAATACAGTGTTTAAAATTTTTGAAAGTTAAAGCAGCGTTCTTACTTGCTACCGTGAATATCCATAGCGCAAAAGCAAACGTATAATTTACACACAAGTTAAGAAATTTTTGAAAAGAATGTTGAAAAATAGATTTATAAAAGTGTAAAATGTTAAGTATAAGTATAAAAATTAATGGTGAAATGAAAGGATGGAATCAATTAGTTTATATCATAAATTATTATGATAAAATTGATCGAGTATTTATAATACAGACATAAATATCAATTAACATAATGTACTTTGTTTATCATAACTGGAATATCACAATTAAGAATAATCTAAATCATTTCAAATATTATTAGTCTTATTAATAATTATGTAATAAAAAAATATATCATTGGAATTTAATTCAGTATTGCACAAATTTTAGGTTATTTATCAATGTTACAAAAATAAACTAAAGATATAATTATTATAATAATTGTTTGAATGCCACGAGTGGTTATCTTACTACTTGACTATTTTTTACATGCTTACCTTAAATTAGAGAAGGTAAAGCAAATTTTCACTGATATATATTAGTGGCATTTGTTTAAGAAAGAAATATGTGTAGATAGCATTTTTCTTTGTCTTAAATGAAACAGTTACTGCTCTTTACGATCTTAAATCTTGATACATATTATATTACTTATATTATTGTAACGAATTTACCTCATTATTCATCTAATGTAATTTAAATATATTACGTATTAATTTGTGAATATTTTTAATCTAATTACAGTTTCATCTCAATATAAATTATATTGATTTATTATTCAATTTTATGGATGTTTGAACGGCAACCATCGCTAATTTATCCCAAGTTCACTCGCTGGAGCTTTATTGGAAACCGTACGTATGATTTTTAACGCATAGAAACGTCATTAGTCAATTGTAATTTACAAAACTACAATGGAATATGATATGTGATAGATTCATGCAAGCTTGTCTCTTCCGGCATGCCGATAATAACAAGACTTCTGACGTTGTGTTGATAAGATGGATAATTGATATACGTTTCGCAAGTACATATACCTATATACACATATTACGTTTGTGACTACGTGTAAGTATATACCCATGCACGTAACTTATAACGTTGTAGGGTGCTATAAAATTTTCAATATGCTGCATGGTCGAGTGACGATTACTGTTACCGCTAATTACGTTTACTTGTACAAGCGGTAATGAAATCACGGCTGGAATTGTTTATCGATCGGGAGTAAGTAGCGTGTGAATCCGTTGATGAGTTAGGTAAGTAGAATAACCAACGAAAGAAGAAACGAATTTTATAGTTCCGTTTCCTTATGTTGATCTTTCGTACTGCAGTAACTTCCGATTGTGTACCCGGCGAAGAGAATGTATGGCTGGCATACGTTAGAAATTGGAACGTATGCTATAGTGGGCTATGTTTCGGAAGAAAACTTTCGACATAGATTAACGGAACAAGTCATAATAATAATTGTACATTATTTTCCAAATCATTTTCCAATTATTGTCCGTTAATTACACCTTTTTATTAAGAATGCATTATACCTATGGGCCTTGAAAGTTCGTTACTCGTCCCTGGCGCAGGTGTAGTATATATGTGTATAAAGCACTGATGAACTTTTCCTGATTCACCAGAAATTGCATTTTCCACTAACGTGCATACATTACACAGTCTCGACATGGAATGAAACTTTGTCGCGTACATCTTTTTCATTGGTAACGAAACAAAATAGTATTAAAAATGGTAATCGCTTACTAAAAATGTATTATTCAAGTTTTGTAGGATGTTGATGGAAATGTAGGTCTCCGTTCTCGGACTTTTATGGATGAATCGTAAAAGGCATATAACGCTGTAACTGTATACAGGCATTTTAAAAAATAACACGCAATTTGAATTTGTTTCGTCGAAAATAACGAAAGGTAATATTTTATTGCAATAACCTAACTTAGTGGTAATATATTTAATAATTTGTAAATTAATTTATAACGTTATTCTAGCTATTTAAACTTCCACACTTCTATATCTAAAGTAAGATTAATTTGGAGATCTATGTATGCTGAAAGTTTATTTGTAATATCATGTACTTTCCTGGACCGATTTTAAAACCCGGATGCAAGAAAATAGGACGTTACTAATGGTTTAAAAAGTTCGAGTACCTTTGATATTACCAGTAGCAGTTGGTGCGAAGTTTTCCCAAGGTTCGTTAGCCTAACAGCCAAAAAATCTGACCTCGAGCTCGAGAGAGTAGCCGGTTCGTACGGAAATTCAGGGCGAAGGTTCCAGAGGTTCCGGTTACGATACTCGCTACAGGTCGTCGTCGTGTACACGTTAGTATCGCGGTAAGATCCGGGCGAAGGAGTATCAGGAAGAATGGAAAGGGGAATGTCGGTCACTGGGCCTTTCCTCGCAATGACGGTACTCCGTTTAGCGCCTCGGGGCCACCTAGGAATGTTGGAACAGCACACAACTTGAAAAGTCTTTCCCTTCTCTCTCTAGTTCTCTATCTTTCCTTCTCTCTGTACCCTCCTACTTCTCTAAATTGCTAACATAGGCGTCTGCGTTTATACGGCGTACACCACCGCCTGAAACGTTGTAAAATAAATTCCATGTACACGATGCATCGTATAATCGTAGTTGACTGAACACAGATTATGAGTACCTTTTACGAAATTTTCCAATTAAGTTCATAATTCACACATAGGCAAATATTTTTGTTACAGTAAAATTTCACAGTTGGTATATATCTTTCTTGAATAGATTTCTCATAAAAGGGAATGACTTTTCGCTGTCTAGATCGATGAAGGAGGTTTTACAAGGGAGGTACTTAGGTAAACGTTATTAATTAAACGTCAAACTTTCATATAAATATCGTTTCATCAAACCATAGTATCTCCATCTTTCTCCTTTTTTATTTTGATTAAAATAGTTTTTCTGTGCATTTCAATATTACCATGCTTTGACGCGTTGAAAGCCTAAACACACGGGAGCGCCTTTTTAATTCCGGCTAGCTTCAAAGCGTCCTCGTTGCATCTTGATATTTACCACGCTTCGCAGGTGTTACACTTTTTCGATAGGTTACATAAAACCGTAAGAGTTCAAGCTCGTATTTGGATAGTGGCGTCGCTAAATCTTCACTGGCTTCTATCGTGAATTTCTTTTTAGGAGTCTGCAGGAACTCCTTACGAAATTCTAAAACGCGTGCCTATGCTTTCAGCGCAGCCGGCAACGCGCAGAGCCAAGAGAGGAAGAGGTCCGCAGTTTAAGGAACGTTTACGCTTCCCAAACAGCGCCGTTTCGTTTGCACGTTCCACGATGGGGGTCGGCGATCGAGAGCAACGGATGGTCGCGAAACGGCAACGCGAAACGGGTGCGGTTCACTGCATATTTCCATGGCGGTGTAGCCCAGGATATCGCGAGTACCGTAAAAGTGAAGAAGCGGGTCGTTGCCGGATCGAATTCCGCGCGTACCAGCCCAAACCACATTAATTTTCAGCGTACGCGCTAGAATTACACCGGATCCTTTCGGTGAGAAAAATGGAAGGTAAGAAAGAGATGGGCGTGCACACAGTTTTGCCAGTGCCTCTCTCTCTCCTCTCCCACTCTCTCTCTGTTTCTCTCCCCTTCTCTCTCTTTCTGTCTGTCTGTCTGTCTGTTTCTCAGCACGCTGGTTCTCCTCTCAGTGGATGCAGCCGCAGCAACCGCACTTTTTCGTGTCTACAGGCAATACTACCGGAGTACCGTAAAGTTGGAAGAGCAATACATTCTAGAATCGAATTCCGGACATGTCTGTACGAGCCGCATGAATTTTTTCCAAGGTTTCTTCGTTGAGTATTACACCGAGTATCCTTAAATGGAAAAGGAGAGAAGGAAAAAGAGGAACGTATAAAGAGAAGAACGGGAGAAAGAGGAAAGAAACGGGGAGGATCAAAGTATGATAGAAGAGACTAAGGATACGTAACCATCGTTGCGTTACAAAGAGAGACCAAGTATCTTAGAAGCAAAGGCCGTTGACTGCGACGCGATGTAATTCCGAATGGTTTTAGGTCATCTGGTCGATCGATGACCCGTTTCATCTATTATTGAAATGTAAGCATCCAACGTAACATCATCAAGTTTTACGTTTCTGGTTGATAGCGACAAGGGCTAACGCTTGAAGCTGTTCGTGGGAAGTTGCTTGATCCATATTCGCAGTTTGTCTGCGTGATAGAGGAACGGTTGCGTGATCGATATTTTAGACAGGTTGGTATGTTATAGAGTGACAAATCGTTTCATCAACGTTGTCGGCTGTGAGGTTTGCGTTACGAATAAAGTATTTACGTTGAAGTTGCTTTATAATGAACCAAGTACGAGATTATTCAAGCGAGTAACAAATATCTTGCGTTAAACTTTGCAGTTGTTATACGTGAAGTTTAAGTTCGTCTGAAAGTTTCATTTAGTTAGAGTTAAAAACTAAGTATTTTCATACTTTTAATGAGCTAGAATGTTTTTAAAATCCACATCGGATCGATTAAAGTTACCAGTATTTTCAGCTATATTATCTCTGTCGCCACATCCACTTAGCTATGAAGCTTCTAAAAAGAAAGAAACGCGAAACCAGATTAAAGGAAAATTAATTAAAAACTTCAATCCACTGGTTCTTTTGAAACGGATTAATTTTTAGAAATTTTGAAAATATGAAATTCATGAAAATCATAAAATGTCTATTCAAAGGAGCCCCTTAAAAGTTTCGAAAATCAGGAAAAGGTAGGGAAAAGTTAAGTTAGATGTAATGTCAAAAACTCGCAGAAAAGCGATAAAATATATTTACCATTTATTCACGTACTCGATCGATTTTTCCACAGATCTATCTACGTTGGAAATCCATTGGAAACCAGCAATTCCAGTTGGCGAAATTTTTAATACGAACGATCGAATCCAACAGGATCAGCGTTGCTCGTTTCCTGGTGTTACGCCGGTGTCCAGAGAGTGGCGTACGTCGACAGGGCCGTAGAATTCTAGAAGGGGGTCATCATACGAGGCCGGCTCCGCCGAACGCACCGAGCCAGGACAGTATACGAACGTCATTCGGCGCGGTCTGAGCGGCGAAAGGCGCGTTACCTGCGAGCGGTATCGCAATTTCGAATCGAAGTCTGCTCTTTCGTGTCTGTTTTATTTTCCTCTGCAAACGGGCACGGGTTGCGATTCAGTGCAACGGTCAGCGTACGTTTCTGTACACCGGTTACCATTTCTCTGAAAGCAGTGCGAGAAAAGCCAACGAGAGATATCTACGAATAGTTTAACGAAGAACGAGGGATTAATTGGTTGCACGTTTCCACGCGTGTGAATTATAGAAATCGAGGTATGTGTTCATAAATTGCTTTTTCGCTTTATTTTTATCCGATTCGTCCGATTTTTCGTTCGTTCACCGTGAAATGTTGTGTTTCGCGATATCGACATTGGTATAATTGAAATTATCCTATCCTCTTTCAATTTTTTTTCTTTTTTTTAATTCCACGAAGATTGTTGGATAATTCTTGCTCAGTTTTCCTCTTTAGTTTATTTTATTTTATTCTCCGTTCTTCTCCTTTGTTTCCTCTTTTCATTTGGTTTCTTTCGAATTTTTATTAGACGATTATTCAGATGTAGAAGATGAGACACGTGATTTTTAGATAGATGCTATTTTTTTATATAGGTTTTAATAGACGGATCTTCTTTGACGCGGTTATTCGTTGTTTTATTTACGGGAGGAGATACTCCTTCTGCGTCGAGAGCACTGGCACTTTGCGAGTCTGTGAAACGGAGTGTCTTGCCTGTGTATGTGTGCCTATCTTCTTATTCTGGTTGATTAAAAATGCCTTGCTAAAGCTTGATGAATTTTCATCGCGCGCGAAAGCCATCTCGTCTCGTGTTCTGAAAACGCCGACTTCATCCGCGGGATGTTCATTAAATTTGCATTATCCTCCTGGAACAATTTCTTTTCACGTTAGAGCTCTGCAATTTCTTAACCATATATCTATTATACGTACACTCGCCCGAACAATCTCCTTCTTCCATTCTACGCAAAAATTCTGCCTCGGAACTTGTTCTTTTAAATCTTCGCAATTTGCAGGTAACGTACAAACGTCTAGAAAGGATACAAAACGTAACAAAAGCTCCTCTTCAAATGCAACGACTTAGGAAGGAAAAATTCTTTCCTCTGTGTGTATATTCTCTCCCTTAAAATATTACTGTCAACGAGGCGCGCTGGTACTCACGTGTACCTTTAATTTTTCTATAATTCAAGCACAGACCCAGAAGGTACAGAGTGGCCATATACATACGTGTACTTTAAATTTCTCCCTAAATGTTTCAAAATATTTTCCAATATTACCTTACGTAGTATCGTTTGATATTCATAAATCTATTGTAAACGGGTACAATTTTAATATGAAAAATAATCTTCGTATTACCCTCACACGTTTTGATTAAGAAGCTTATTATCTCTAAATTAGGAACATCTGTACCTTTAATTTTTTTATAATTCAAGCACAGACCCAGAAGGTACAGAGTGGCCATATACATACGTGTACTTTAAATTTCTCCCTAAATGTTTCAAAATATTTTCCAATATTACCTTACGTAGTATCGTTTGATATTCATAAATCTATTGTAAACGGGTACAATTTTAATATGAAAAATAATCTTCGTATTACCCTCACACGTTTTGATTAAGAAGCTTATTATCTCTAAATTAGGAACATCTGTACCCTTAATTTTTCTATAATTCAAGCACAGACCCAGAATGTACAGAGTGGCCATATACATATGTGTACTTTAAATTTCTCCCTGGATGTTTCAAAATATTTTCCAATATTACCTTACGTAGTATCGTTTGATATTCATAAATCTATTGTAAACGGGTACAATTTTAACCCTTTGCACTCGAGAGGTGACTCTCAGTCACCGTTTAATCAGATTCTAAAGATCGACGTTAATTAATATATGAAATTTAAAATTACCTAACGATGTGTGGAATATCGAAGAAAAATAATTGTGTCTTAATTTGCATATGATTTCTCATCTACCATTTCAAAAATATCGTCAACTCTATGACAGAAAGTCTTCGAATTGTTATTTTTCTATAACGAAAAAGTGGTCGAGTGCAAAGGGTTAACCCTTTGCTCTCGAGAGTTGACTCTCAGTCACCGTTTGCTTCAATGCTATAACTGAAATAACGAATGATGATAATTATATTAGCAACTACGCGCGAAATATCGAGATAAAATAATTCTATTCGTTCATTTCTCGCGCAAATGCACGATTTTCTATTTTCATTTTGGCATAAAGAGTATCAGCGAGCTTATGAAAATCTAAGAAAAGCTTCGAATTGCTGTTTACTACGAAAAAGTCTTCGAGTCGAAAGGATTAGGAAAGGTATCGAATAAAGGTAAGATGATTAAAATCAACGGTACCAATTGCACGTTTAACGTGGTAGGAAATGTAATTGGTTGTTCAAATTATTATCCCTGTGCACTGGAAAATTTCCTCGTTATAAAGATATAACAATTCGAGGCTCTTCTTATACTTTTCTTATCTCAGTGGTGCCATTTATGTTAAAATAAAAAGAGAAAATCACGTGTATTTCATTTCAATATTTCACGTGGAGTTATTTCTAATCTAGTAATGTCTCATACTCGTTACTCAGGCCTCCAGATATTGAAGCACAAACGGTGACTGACAACGAGAGTTACCACTCGAGTGCAAAGAGTTAATATGAAAAATAATCTTCGTAATATCCCGACACGTTCAGATTAGGAAGCTTATTATTATATACTATTATTCTACTATGCTATTATTCATTTAATACTATTCCTAAATTAGGAACATTCTTATCCCTGATCACGTTATACGAATAACGCGAATACTCTTGCACGTAACGCATTAACTAGATCTGTGGGGGTCCTCCCTCTAGCGGCGAGGGCGAGAATGATGGTCGCTGCAGATGCAACTCGAAAACGGTATTAACCACCGACTATTTTCATTCCCGATCCTGCAACGCTGCAATTACACCGTTTCTTGCTTCGAGGAGCGGAAAAACCTTCGGGATAAACCAGTGGGTCACGTGCACGCGATTTTATCCATTTATTTATCATCGTTCCCCCTTTTTCCCTCGGTTCTTTTTGCCCTCCCTGTTTCCTTCTGTCAGAAATTGCAACGAAATTGCACGGTCTCAGTCAGCCGGTTGCGTGCCTCCTCGAAGATGCCTTGTGCGTGAAATTCAACGAATCGCGGCACGTAAATCACGACGGTAACACCGGGCGAATCACCGAGCCAATTAATTCCTGTGAAATTCGCTAAGAAACGGCCGGCATGTCCACTTGTGCGTGAGCTTTCTAAAACGGCGAGAATGCAATTTCATCGTGTATACACACGGGTAAGGCCGTTTTCCTAAAACCGCCATCGCGCGCGAAGATTCCTCTTCTTTTTCCTCCCTTTTTCCGCGCTGCCACACGTACGTCTCCGTACGACGATGCGCACCGCGTATTAATTATTCCCGCTTTCTTTGCATTCCTCGCCCCCGTCGCCGCGGCTTACGTGCGTCTTTTCTTAAGGCTCTACTTGCTCGCCGCGAAATCGATGCTGTTCAATTGCGAATGTTATCTTCCATCGAGGCTGCACGAAATTGCCACCGATTCTACGTGTCGCGAATGAAAAGAATCGGGTCAGCGAAATTAGTGGTGACTGTTAACGGTCCTCTCGGTCCTAGTTTTTAATACATTCTATCTAGAGAGTTGAAGATCGGTCAAAGACTTGCTTCCAGGTTCTTCGTTATCCAGGTTGCCGAAGATATGCAGATCTGCTTTTGTCGAAATTAATAATTCGCTATTATTTTTAGCTACGTGTTGCAGATCATTAACGCTAGATTTACGGAACCCGTCAATTTGACGGAAGAGTTGCTCCAATTATACGATGGTAACAGATTTAGTTAATTTATATTAAGACTGTTAATATAATATATAATTGTTCTTAAATTAACCCTTTGACTACCGCAGATTTTAATACTCCCTAAATGTTTCAAAATATTTTCCAATATTACCTTACGTAGTATCGTTTGATATTCATAAATCTATTGTAAACGGGTACAATTTTAATATGAAAAATAATCTTCGTATTACCCTCACACGTTTTGATTAAGAAGCTTATTATCTCTAAATTAGGAACATCTGTACCCTTAATTTTTCTATAATTCAAGCACAGACCCAGAATGTACAGAGTGGCCATATACATATGTGTACTTTAAATTTCTCCCTGGATGTTTCAAAATATTTTCCAATATTACCTTACGTAGTATCGTTTGATATTCATAAATCTATTGTAAACGGGTACAATTTTAACCCTTTGCACTCGAGAGGTGACTCTCAGTCACCGTTTAATCAGATTCTAAAGATCGACGTTAATTAATATATGAAATTTAAAATTACCTAACGATGTGTGGAATATCGAAGAAAAATAATTGTGTCTTAATTTGCATATGATTTCTCATCTACCATTTCAAAAATATCGTCAACTCTATGACAGAAAGTCTTCGAATTGTTATTTTTCTATAACGAAAAAGTGGTCGAGTGCAAAGGGTTAACCCTTTGCTCTCGAGAGTTGACTCTCAGTCACCGTTTGCTTCAATGCTATAACTGAAATAACGAATGATGATAATTATATTAGCAACTACGCGCGAAATATCGAGATAAAATAATTCTATTCGTTCATTTCTCGCGCAAATGCACGATTTTCTATTTTCATTTTGGCATAAAGAGTATCAGCGAGCTTATGAAAATCTAAGAAAAGCTTCGAATTGCTGTTTACTACGAAAAAGTCTTCGAGTCGAAAGGATTAGGAAAGGTATCGAATAAAGGTAAGATGATTAAAATCAACGGTACCAATTGCACGTTTAACGTGGTAGGAAATGTAATTGGTTGTTCAAATTATTATCCCTGTGCACTGGAAAATTTCCTCGTTATAAAGATATAACAATTCGAGGCTCTTCTTATACTTTTCTTATCTCAGTGGTGCCATTTATGTTAAAATAAAAAGAGAAAATCACGTGTATTTCATTTCAATATTTCACGTGGAGTTATTTCTAATCTAGTAATGTCTCATACTCGTTACTCAGGCCTCCAGATATTGAAGCACAAACGGTGACTGACAACGAGAGTTACCACTCGAGTGCAAAGAGTTAATATGAAAAATAATCTTCGTAATATCCCGACACGTTCAGATTAGGAAGCTTATTATTATATACTATTATTCTACTATGCTATTATTCATTTAATACTATTCCTAAATTAGGAACATTCTTATCCCTGATCACGTTATACGAATAAC